TAGTCGCGCTATAACAAAAGCTATAATTCTCAATGAACGTCTCACGTGCTCCACTCAACAATACTCAGTTCAATTACACATTATCTTCGTCGCTTCATGGCCGGTCTTATATATACAAGACTACACTATATCTAGAAGGATCCCAAGATTTAAGGAAGGGACGTGAATGTTCGAGAAGGACGTGGCGTGATACTAGTCACGTGACCTCCGCTGACGCAACAATATAATACTAGAAACCGGGTTCCGATATACGTATTGAGCACAGCACAGATAACCCATTGGTTAGTTTTGTGTTTAAATACAAACAAACATTATGTCCTTATTTTTCAAGAAATAATTATGTGATAACATTTTATAGTGACAATCCCTTGCCTAACATTTATAGAAAGATTAGGAGTCAACATTTTTTGAGACAACAAAAGCACTTTCTGTACTATGATTTGCTCAGTAATTCTAGTTTTATCTTTAGTAAACATCTCCACATCACCATCAGTCCGTTCGAATAGGTTTTAACGTCTCTGTTTCTCAGTGGTTAAACCAAATCGTGTGGTAAAAAGCTAATTTATATTAATCTCTCTTTTTGTCGTTGTTGCTCCTGCTGTTTTCTTACATGTAGATAGATTAAAAATCTCCTAAAACCGGTATAATCCAAAAGAGTGGGGCCAAAATAACTGGAATCAGAACGTCTTTTCCACTGGATTACTTATTTATTTATTGTTAAGCACAAAACTACATAATGAGCTACCTGTGCTCTGCCTACCGCAGATATGGAAACCCACATTTTAGCATTATAAGCCCTCAGATTTACTGCTGAACCTCCGGGGAACATTCTCACTGGAAATAACATGAAAAGAATAACACTGCAAAAACAAATAGACAATTTTGAATATGTTGTTTAAAAATTTGTTTAACAACAAGAAAAAGTTTGGAATGGTATATTCTTTCATTGGGGGTGTGTCTGTGAGCCAGACTAGTTTCGAAGAATTCCACTCCTCATCAGTAACCCTGGACACTACCACCAATGAAATATCAGACCAAACCAAGCATTTACAGTAAAACACTTAAATACACCATTTCGAAATAGACAGTTTATAGTTTAAATTTTTTTTCTAGTTTGCGGTAACGTTTAAGTCAATGTAAAAAAATACTACAAAGGGAAAGATAGTGTGAATACATTGCTAAAAATTAGGTTTTGATATTACGTTTTAAGTTAATAAATACACCGGTAGATTGTACATGTGTCGAGACGGAAGTCGATATGGAAGTCTTTGATACTCAAAGAGAAAAGCTGTTACTAGTGTTAGAATTCAAGGTTTGATGCCCCTTGTCATTCTAATAGATCATTCTATAGTCTATTTATTAGTCAACTTATCTTATAGGATTTCTTACTACAATAACTAATCTGATGAATTTTAAACCCAGATTAGGCCTTTGCTGTAGGTCCAACGGAAAACAAATTTATGCCTAGCGCTGCGGCACAGCTTAGGCAGTGCCATTACCTAGTGTAGTAATAGGCCTAGAGCTAAGCTGCATAACCGTAGAGTTAAATTAAGTCATGTTATACACCAAGTATAATTGTAGTAACATCATTCTTATTCAATTTTTATCATGCTAAGGGTACCCAGGTGGGACAGCAGTAAGTCTTCGACTTTACAACGCTAAAATCAGGGGTTCCCCTTGGTGGACACAGCAAAAAAATTTCCATTAAAATTAAATTTATTCAAAAGTTTCCACTAAACATCGGAATAAATAAAAATTCTTAATAATTATTATTAGAAAATACGTAATTACTTGTTTGTAATTAACCACAAAGCTACACATTGGGCTATCTGTGCTCTGCCCACAACGGGTATCGAAACCCGGATTCTAGCGTTGTAAGTCAGCAGACATACTGCTGTGCCACTGGGGGAACGTAATTACTTATCAATATGAGAATATAATTGTCTGGGCCTGGGGTCATGCAGGTCCCACCCTACTGGTAATTTTAAAAGTTAACGTATTTGTTGTGTAGTTACATTCCTTGCACATATACTGTTCAGTTATTTATGTTGCGTGCATGGAGAAATGAAGTTTTCAATCCTTACAAACAATTCAACTTTTAAAATACTTTTTTTTATTAACAATGGATTTTAACACAATATGTATCCTTTTCATTTTCAAAATAACACCCTAGAAAACGACAAATATTTAAAAGTAAAGAAAAGGTATCCTACTATGTTACATAAATTAATAAAAACCAATCTGTAAGAAGAATTAATTGCTGGTTACTGGCCTATAAAACATGAAGTGAAACATAATCACTTATTTTTACTCTACATTATTTTTATCATTCTCATTAAGGCACCAGTAACATTACTAAATTGTACCCACTTGTTTAAATAACTGGTAAAAGGGGGATATATTACTATTAGGAAGTGTTATTTTTGAACAAGTAGGTGCAAAAAAAAATTAATTTGATGTGTCACATATATCATTTAATATATTCCAAATAAATTGAAGAGCTTTATATGGACTTTCCTTAAATATGCATAATTTCAAATGATTTATCATTTTTCAGCAGTTTAAACTTTTAGTGCTAGAACCCAATTACTGGTGCTTTACTTCTATTTTATGTATACTCATAATTTTATTTATATTCTTATTCGTATTGTTGTTCTTTCGTTGGTGGGTTATTTTAAATTAGCCATTGAAAATAATTCAACAAAAGAGGAAGAAGTCTAGATTGCACCTGACCATCCCAGGTCTAAACGAGGACCTAAATCTCGATGATTATTTGTTTTGAATTTCGCGCAAAGCTACACCAGGGCTATCTGCACTAGCTGTCCCTAATTTAGCAGTGTAAGACTAGAGGGAAGGCAGCTAGTCATCACCACCCACCACCAACTTTTGGGCTACTCTTTTAGCAACATATAGTGGGGTTGACCGTTACATAATAATGCCCCCACAGCTGAAAGGGTGTATCAGGACGGGGATTCGAACCTGTGACCCTTAGATTGCGAGTCGAGAACCCTAACCACCTGGCCATGCTGGGCCTGCAAAAACAAATTTTTAATGTTAAAAAAAAGATGGTGGGTAACTCCCATGTTAGTACCATTGGTAGTCTGGTCACTTAGATGGTCTCCCAAGGCAAATAGTTTAGTATAAACAACTAATGGCTCCCTACTTGTTTATCCTCTGTATGTAGTCTAAACAGGAACTCTGGGTTTCTGAGCAGGTTGAAGTTTCTCACTGGAGTTACCCAGTTGGCTGTTCTCTCACTAACATACTTCCAAAGATGATCACAGTGGATGTGTCTTGGCATGGATTTCTTCTCCTTCTGTATCTTGTAGTCTACATTATTGGTTCTTTTTAATATGATGTATGACTTCATACACTGACTTAACTTTAGAGTTTGTCCTCTCTTGCAACAAGAACTCTCATCCATACTATGTCACCTTAATGAAATCCAGATGTATCAGCATTAACATCATAGTAACTTTCCATTTGATCACAAGCACATTTAATTCATGTACAACATTTTTACTTTTGACATCCGTGAGGGCTCTTCCAAACACCGATTCCTCAGTACACAGTGGAGTATATGGTTCCACTATGTCCCATTCTTCTGGTATGTGTATTTCACTTTTTGGCAGTACAGTGATGATGACCACCCTCTTTGTTGTCACTGGAAGTTCATCCTCAATATAGTAACTGCCATGCAGTACATAGGGATGTTCTGGTTCATATACTGTGAAGCTATATGAAGCTTGTCTAACCTCACATCCATGTTCCCACATAAAATCGGCTTCTAATATATATTCTTCCTTAATGCCAATTATTCAAACATCATAAGGTGTAGAGAAATTTCCCACAGTAAGGGGAAGTTCCAACTTCCCTTTTGCTGAAACTTTATGTCCACTTGCTGTTCACATCAATCTCTATTCATTCTTCATCTATAGAGACAGTTCCCACCTTTCATTAATAAATTGGGTGAAACACTTGTAGCTACAAACAGTGTCAGTCTATATAATACAAAGTTTTCTATCAATGAACCCATGGACTCCTAGATGATGTTTTCCTCAAATAATGAACTTATCTCATTTGTGGCAAATGGAGTATTTCCAGCTAAACTTCATCCAATAAATCCAGCTTGTTCCTGACTTTTTGATGTCTAGGTAGTTTTTAATTTTCTTTTAATCAGGTTGGGATCTGAGACATGTCGTCAGGGTATTGTCTTCTTGGCTTGATAAGAGCTGTTGATTCCTTACAGTCTTGGTTGTAATGGCCATGTTTCCCACAATTATAACACTTTCTTCTTTCTAGTATCTTCTGAGAGGAGGTTTTATTCCATACTGACTATAACATACAATTCCTCGCAAGATGTTTTTCAAGTTACACTTGAAACACTTGTGGTTTATATCCTTTAATCTACATAATTAGTTGATTTTAATTCATTCTGTTATGCTGAACTGTTATTAGGGTGAGTTCATGTTTCAGTACCATGGAATCTGATATTCCCAAACTTCTATAGATGCACCTTTAGTAGTTTATCTGCACCTTTAATGGATTCAAGTTCTATCACAAATTGGAGAGTCTCATTTTAAAAATGTACACCTATCTCTTTTCATCCTAATTCTTATGTCTTTGTTTGTTATGGTATCTATAAATTGGTCATATGCTGATAAATCCATCATTTCACGAGGAGCATCTGGATAGGATAATTTGGCAAGCTTTTCCAAATCTTCTGCAAGTTCAGATAAGGTCTCTTCTTTCCACTTTAGCATGTCGTGAAGTTTCCTCTGGATATTTCTTTCTTGTACAGCACTCCAAACCTGTTGGATAATGTGAGTACTGATGACAAATAGTTGTAATGGCTCTCAGCTGGAAGGTTCCTAAATGTTGTCAAAGCTGGTCCTTGTAAGTGGGCAACAAGATGTATGGCTTGTTGTTCTCTATTCCACCCTTTCACTCTGGAACTTATTTCAGACTGAGCCTAGTATGAGCCCTATGGTACTTTCCCATCCATGGGTATCTTCAAGATATATTACAGAGGGGGGCGAAATGACATCAAACCTATAGTTAGGGTCACTGGTGAGGCCACATTTGGAATATTGTGTTCAGTCTTGGGCTCTTCACCTTAGAAAAGACATTGAATTGTTGGAAAGGGTTCAGAGAAGGGTTACTGGGATGATGCCCAGATGATGGAGGGGTTGTCATATGAGGAGAGGCTGAAATCTCTCAAATTGTTTTCTCTTGAAAAAAGAAGAGTTAGGGGGGACCTGATTGAGATGTTTAAGATTGTAAAGGGAATTGATAGTGTTGGTGCATCATCTTTTTTCATATTTAACAATGAGAATAGTAGGACTAGAGAAAACAAATATAAATTTGGGCAAGGTAGGAGTCATTTTCAGCCAAGACAGTTGGTAGTGTCATGGCTGAAGTAATTTAGGAAGGTCCTTCAGTAACAGGTGGTGCAGCAGTAGTGGTAATTAGGTCAAATAAGGTCTTATAATAGATCGTGTTTTTGGTTGGTACTTTTGAACAAGTACTGAAAGAGGTGTGGCTGATGTAACCTTTACATTTAATAATTCATTTTCCAGATGTTTTATTCTTTCAATGATGTTCTTTTCCTCCTTGTTGATATCCTGCTGTATTTATTCAACCTTGTCATTACAGCCTTCTACTCCTGCAATCTTGTAGTTAATTTTAATGTAAGGTTTATCAGTATTTTTACAGTTTTTATATATATATAATCATAGCAATATGAATTTTATTTCACTGGGTATGAACTGTTTTAATTTTTTGTCAAAATAAGTGCTTAATTTTCTACATCAAATTTTTGTTTTTTAAATATAAGGACTTGACTGGTATTAAAGATATGGACAGGTGCCAAGAAATTTTACTAACCTATAACTGGGACCTTGAGGTATTAAGAAATATTTAATGTTCATTGCTACATTATGCTACCTATGCATTGGAATACAGCAGTTATAACCTGAGTAAACAGTATTTATTGCCAAAACAAACAAGTAAACAGTATTTATAATCTTTGTATTTTTGAGCAAAAGACAGTATATAACCTGTGTTCAGACTTCTAAAAAATTATCATATACTTGTGATTAATAATAATTGAGTAACTTATGAATTAATGAAGCTAACTGTATAGGAATTTTGTAAATCAATATTAAAAACTATATAACTATAATGATTAGATTAGCAGTATTTTCAGCTATAAGTCCAGCATCAATATTATCTTACAAGGATTAGCCTAAACACATGTACTAAGATAACAACACAAAATAGTCCTCATAAGTATAAACATTAACAATAATAATATACAGAATAATTTTGAACATATATGATTATAATGAAATATAATAACAAAACCGTCTTAAAGTGGACGCCCTACTCTTTTTTTTTTATAGTTATTGGAAATATCCTTTCTATATAGGTGCTGTTTTAGTTATAGGAAGTGCTAAGAATCTCTTAGTTATTTCATCATAAAATATTTAGTTATACCAATTTGATATGTTAGTCAATTTCTGTGTAGATTCTGTGAATTTTATTATTTAATAGGTCCTAAGGTTTTCACTAATTCATTGCTATACATGATATTTTTATAAATGTGTAAGATACAGGTATGCTGCATAAGGCTATATATTTTTGTTTAAATAACTAATATATATACTGCATAAAATGTAAATATTAGGTGGTGTTTTAACTTAAAATTGATTTAATTTTTTTGTAATATTTACAGGAATAACCGTATAATATCCAAAATCTAATGTTTTGAGCCATATTTTCAGTTTACCAGGTTATCGGTAACCTTTCAGAAAGTGTTCAGTTATCTATTGTTTGCTCAAATTACTATCTCTAACACTTTATTTATTAAGAACAAGTAAAAAGTTTATTTGATGTAGCATGTTTGATTAAACACAATTGGAAATATTGCATTTTGTTTCAGCTTTTATGTTAATATTCTACATGTGGAATTCCTTTGCATTCATAGGTGGCAGTATAAGACACATTCTAAACATCCAGGAAGGCTCACAATCGGTATATAGTTCATCTTCAAACTCAACACTAACTGTTGTTACAGACTCTCTCAATCAAAGGTATTGCCATTTTTTTATCTCCTCGTTAGTAAATCTAAACCTCAGACATTAAATAAATCCATTTTTTTATAAAGTTTAAACTGAAACATTTTAGAGTAAATGAAATCATCTAGAGATTGCGATTTACATGTTCTAATAAAATCATCGGTCTTTTATTCAATATTGTAATCATTTATTTGATTCACGAACAGTTGTGGATATTGTAAAAAATTAAGTCAAATTTATATACTTAATGAGATTAAAATCTAATAATTAGTACAGTAGTCCAAAAAAATGTCTGAAAATCAAAAATTACAGAACTTATCACTTTGTATTTTTCAATAACCTGAGTTGAAATGTATCTGAAAGCATACCAGTTCATTACTGCCCTCAAAATGTAAAAAGCTTTAATACTTACTGATATTTCTAAAATACTGCAAGTCCATTCTAGGGAAAAAAAAACAGAGAACAAAGCAAGATACAGTGTTCAAAACATTTTTGATAGCCATTTTAGTGCTATCATATCAATTCATTAAAGATTATTGCTGCTTCTTGTAAGCAATTGAATCACATGGCTTTTTGCCTTAGAAACTGATGGAAGTTTGTTTGTTTGTTTTTGAATTTCGCG